CTGTTTTCGTAGAGCTGCGGGATCGGACGCTCCCAGATTGCGAAGTTAAATCTCTGTTTGTCGTTGCGAAACAATCGAGAATTATCGTTATCGTCTATCGCGAGCAGTTCCAGTGCTTTGGAACTTCTGTGAAAACATTCTCGGCTTTTCTCATTCTTTTTATCATCGACGCGTTAACATCGAGTCATCGACTCGACGGCACCGGTAAACATTGTCGCATCGTTAAAATCATTTTTATCATATTTGTGATGTGTCTAAAACAAAACTGTTAAAAACGTAACTTCCTCGCGTAGAAAAAGAGCTAAAAAATCGTTTCGAAACGAAAGCATGATCGGCGAAAGTGTGTCGGTTGAGCGGCAGTGGCCGGCGAGCAGGTAAGTGAAAAACTGCGTCGTCGAGATCCCGACGATTTCGACGATCTCGGTGACCCGAGCTGCTCCGAAAAAAACCGCGTCACCTGTGCCGCGACCTAATGCACCCGCCTACGGTAAATCGATTTTTTCGATTCGAGAAGAAAGAGGACAGGAAATAGTGGGGGGAAAAAGACAGAAAGAGAGACGACCGGCCGCGAATAAAAAAAAAAGAAACCGGTCGGATCCGGGGAAAAAGGTCGCGCGGAGCGTCCCCGACTTTCCGATGATCGATCCTGCGCACGGCGTTTCGGGTCACATGCTCCTAATTTGTATTCAAGTTTTACACAAGTTTATCCGATGAATTTACCGTATTCTTTACGAAAGCTTTTATTCTATAAACTGTACACGATTTGAGACGAGCTGGGCCGGGGCGGCCGGGGGGGATGGGGGGCCGCGATCACGGCGCCGAGGCGCGGCCGGGGGTGCGCGCCTGGAACGCGCGATTATCGACGACAAAAAAAATATATACACCGCATAGAGACGTAACATATAACGATATACATACATACATACATATACATATATATTTTGTGCTAAACTCATTTCCACCATGCAATGACGATGGCAAGTCAATAACGTTTCTGCGAGTAGCTAAAATCAGATAGTCGGATTATCGACAGGCGACCGTGCTTCTGTTCCCAACCATTGTTTCGCATCGACGAATGCGCGCGGACGACGGTCTTCGCGCAGCGAATGTTCGTCGCGTTCCGCGCGAGAACTACCGGCACCGGCTAAACTACCTGTGGATTGTCCGAACAGATTAGGAACGAAGGGAAAAGAAGAGACGAGGAGGGAAGGGAAAGGAGAGAAACGGAAAGGAAAGTAAGAGAGAAGAAGAGAAGAAAAGAGTGAGGAAAATAAGAGAAAAGAAACAAGAGAAAAGAAGAGGAAGGAAAATAAAACAAAAGAAGAGGAAGGAAAATAAAACAAAAGAAGAGGAAGGGAAATAAAACAAAAGAAGAGGAACGAAAATAAAAGAAAAGAAGTGGAAGGGAAATAAAACAAAGGAAGAAGAAGGGAAATAAGAGAAAAGAAGAGGAAGGGAAATAAAACAAAAGAAGAGGAAGGGAAATAAAACAAAAGAAGAGGAAGGAAAATAAGAGAAAAGAAGAGGAAGGAAAATAAGAGAAAAGAAAAGGAGAAAAAGAAGGGAAAAGAAAAGAAGAAAAAGGAAAATAAGAGAAAAGGAGAGAAAGGAAAATAAGAGAAGAGAAAAGAAGATAAAAGAAAAGGAGAGAAGAAGAGAGAAGAGGAGAGAAAAGAGAAGAAGATAAAAGAAAAGGAGAGAAGAGGAGAGAAAAGAAAAGAATAGAAAAGAAAATAAGAGAAAAGTAGAGAAAAGAAAAGAAAAGAAAATAAGAGAAAATAAGAGAAAAATAGCAAGAGAGAGAGAGAAGATAAGAGCGAATAAAGGGAGAGGGGGGGGGCAACGTGTCCACAGTCTTGCCAATCTCGGCGATCGTTTTTCTAGCAGCGAAACGGGGGTCGACCGATAGCTTCCACCGAAAGACGAGAGCGTTCCGCGTCGACGTAGTTCTCGTCACCTGAAATCTGCCTGTGTCTTTAGCACCGAACTGCCGCCAACGGAAGCAGAGCCTCCGAGATTGCATCGCCTGGACAATTAACGCTTTCGCGACCACTTCGCCCGCTGGTCGGCTTCGGGGTAACGAAAGGGGTGAGCCGCGGTCTCGAGGGAGACGGTCCCGCGTTCGCGAGCATCGCGACCGAGGGAGTAAAAGAAAAAGAGAGAGAGAGAGAGAGAAAGAGAGATAAAAAGGCGGCCGTCGACACCGCCGGTCCCAAAAACGCCGGCCGTTCCGTCGATCTCGGTCGCCGACGACGATTCGGCGACGGCCGTCACCGTCGGCGGCGCGCCCGAAACGGTCCCGAAAGCGTCGATGGGGCTCGCGTGCAATTATTTTTGTTGTAAATACCAGCGGGGAATATGTAATTCGTGTTTGTCAAGTTATATCGAAGAATTGTATTCTATATGAATTTTATAACGAAAAGAACGAAATATAAACCGAGATCGTATCGCGCTTCCTCCTAGCGGAAGAAAAAATTACGATTAAAGAGGCGCGAGATCGCCGAGCGGATCAACAAATTTCGCGATCGCCCGCCGGCTGCCGGGGTTGTTCGCCGTGGCTGTTTTTCGCGTTTCGATCGATTACGCTTGGTTTTTGGTCGACTATCTGGAAAGCGTTCGCGATATATCATCGTCAGGAAACACCTGCCTCTCGGATCATCGAACCTTGACGTAACCGCGTGTGTCGTCTCCCGACGACGGTGATATCGTCATCGTCATCGTCATCGTCATCGTCGTCGTCCGAGGAGGAGGAGCAGCGACTTTTTCACTTTCTTGGCTTCCGTTCGGTTTTCGCGAACGCGAGAATAATTCTGCGAAAGCGTGCGAAAAGCGCGCTCGATCCGCGCGCAGCTCGTCGTAAATAGAACGTCGTTCGTTCGACGCAAGGACGATCTTATTTATACTTTGTGATGCAGGGACAAAGGCCGCGTGGAACGCGCGCCGTTGTAATTGCAACGGCGGATTATACATATATATATCGGATTATTTCGCGCGGCAATCGGGAAACCGTACGTACGCGTTGCCTTTGAGCGTGTCAACGTTGGATGGAATTATTGCACTGATCGTAATAAAAAGCGACCGCGTCGCGTAATCAAAACGAAACTCGCGTTTTAAACTTCATTGTCAGCGTCGCTCGAATTATTTTCGCGTCCCGTTTCACCCGATACATACGTACGTACGTGCATACATATATGTATATCGCCCGCGTTCTGCGTCGCGTTTTTCTTTTTTTCTTTTCTTTTTTTTTTGTGGACGTTACGGCTCCCTGTAATTCGTTTCGCCGTTTTCTTTTGCTCTTCGCCGTCGCCGCCGCAACGACG